CCTAGGGACATGATATGAGAGTGGCCATGGGAGCAGTGAGCACACAAGAGAGAACTATACTTCAGTGTCCACTGAGGGAAGCCACACCACCAAGGGAGTGGCCGGCAGGGCTGGGGTTCTGCCAGCTTGCCTGCCAGTATACAGAGTAAGTAGTCCCCCACACCAAACCCTTTCCTGCAGGGCTGGAGATCCACCATCTTGCCTGCCAACCCACTGAGGAAATAGCCCCCATATCCCAAAGCCCTTCCTCCCCTCCGAGCACTTGCCTGCAGCATTGGAGGATGGGGGCGGGGAGAATGAACAGGCCCCTGGTAGCTGGGGGGGGGGGAAGGTTGCCTGGGAGGGGGGAGAAAGAACAGGCCCCAGGCTGGCTGGTCTGGAAAAAAAAAGGGGGGGGGAGAGGGGAAGTCATAGGAGTTTCTTAAGTCTTATATTCCTCTAGCCTCCTGAGTGCTGAAGCTGCTTACAATACTGTTCCACCTCATCATCCTCCATCAGCCCCCATGCTCACAGGACACAACAACCTAAGATGGTTCTGTATGTTTATGTAAGAAGAAAGGCACACCAGATCTATCTCAGCTAAAATACCTGCAAACTCCCTTCATATAAGAGTGAAACAAATACTCAAGGCCACAGTATAATTTATAAAACTCAAGAATCACTGATAAGGGCAAACACGTATTTTCCATGACTAATAAAGAAAATTCATATGGCTCAGCACTTCATGAAATTGATGGTAGAAAACAGCTCAGAAATTTAGATAGAACATTTCCATTTACTTACTACTTGAGTGGCTATGAAGGGAGCACTTGCAAAGGCAAGTGAACTGAGTACCTATATATGGGATCTGAAATTCAGGCCTCTTGTTTTAATCACTAGAGCTTGGGAGACGGGCTTTTTATTAGCATATATATTTAAATAAAAATTAAATCTCCCATACTATCCACAATAAAAATGGATACAAACTATGGAATTAGTGAGGCATTGTCCCTGTGGTGACTGTCATATCATCTGGTGTTTGTCAGTCAGCATAAGTAAACAACCTATAACGGAAATGTGCATACAACACTGGCAGCATAATGTGACCCTGTCTATACTAGCCAGAGAAAGTATGGATACAAAACTGCAAGTGCTGAGCATCCTCAATCCCCATGGCCTTCAACAGAAATGGAGGGCATTTATCAACACAACATGATCCATCCAGCTCTCTGATGAATAGTGAACAAACATAATTCTTGTCAGAAAGACAATTACAGGCAGTCCCCGGGTTACGTACAAGATAGGGACTGTAAGTTTGTTCTTAAGTTGAATTTGTATGTAAGTCGGAACCTGTACATATTGTAGGGGAAACTCTAGCCAAACATTTCTCCAGAGCTCAGTTTTATTCTCCCACACCTCACTTCCCTCAGTCCTTTATTCTCAAGCTGAGGTGTCTGCTCAGAAAAGCCGCTCCGCGTCTCCCTGGTCTGCAGGGGGGGGCCGCTAGCTTCGCTTCTCTCTGGTCTGCTGGGGGGAAGCAGCTAGTGCGGGATTGCCTCACCCCGTTTGTAAGTAGGGATCCGATGTAAGTCGGATCCATGTAACCCGGGGACTGCCTGTATCCACTTTCCCTGACCAGCACACACAGGGCTTAACTGTGCTATTGATATAAACCAATTTGTGAAACATGGTGCTACAGACTTGATGGAAACCTAGCATCTGACTAGTCAGATGGGCGAGTTATTTTCTGTAAAAAGTGTAGAGGATCTATGTAACATGAGGTCAAAGGCCAACTACTTCCTGACATCCTAAAACTGGAGATGTCAAGATTATTGAATTCACAGAATCTTTAACTAATGAATTCTGACCATGAGCTAGTTTCAATGGCAGCTCATAATACCTGTTTTTGAACCACATAACTTTCCCTATATCACTGTGAAACGTCTCAATTAATTTTGTAGTATCCATTTCCTCATTAGAGATAGGGAGCAAATTTTACTAGTTGACATTTAAAAAGTGTTCTATATGCTTATGTTCTGTATACTTAAAACAGCTCTAAAGGAAAATGCACCGGGAAGAATCAATCTGAACAAAAAAAAAAAAAAAAAGGAGAAAGAAAGCATTTTCATATTACAGCCACCATCACACCCTGTTTGGGGTAGCTGAAAAATTAACTGTGGGGAGAATTACAAAATAGAAGTATTAATGATTGGCTAGACAGTCTCTTTCTGGAGGGGAAAAAATGTCAATACATTCATTTGGATTAACAAATAATTATTTTAACTCACCATAAAGGGATCTCACCTATGTATTTTAAAATACATAGTTCAAACCACAATAGTTAAGGAACTGCATCTGTACTTCACAAAGTAATACAAATTCCAACATCCTTCTAGCTGTCTTTACTATAAACAACTATCCTTAAATCTGTTTACTATTATTGTTCTAATTAGTCATATTATTTTGCAGAGCCATGATAAATAGCCCACATTCTTTATAGAAAATCAGAGAGCATGAAGAATCTAAAAAGTGATCACTCTTGATTTAAAAATGTCACCTAACGCAAAACCAGCAAATATACACATTAGTGGTGACATTGAAAAAGCCCTAGAGAGTGGACAATGTATAATGTTTCACTATGCCAGAAAAACAGAACACAATTTTTCCCAAGAAATAAATTGATATCACTATTACACTTGACAAATCTTATAGGTGGACTAATGGCACAAGGATGAGTTTCTTGCATTAATCAGATGGGACAACTGGACAATCCCTACTCAGGCACAATCATATAATCCTGCTATGAAGCTCACTCCTCAGCATAAGCTTTCTCTGTTGTATCACTTGTACTTTTTAATTGAAATTACATACTCTTAAAAGTCTTGTGTTTCTTTATTTACTTAGAATAAAGTGGTCAAACCATAGACCCATACCGCAAACGTGCCTCAGAACCAACATCATATTTAACACAGAACCTGTGGAAGATATATATCCCATTCAGTAATGGAACATTCTGATTTAAAGCAGAAGCTATTCAGGAGAAAAAGGACCATCACATCAGAAACAGATTAAGATTTATTGGGTCCCTGGGTACAAAGAAGGATGTTAAGTATCGGGTATTTCACTAATCGAATAGTCAATGCAAAAAGGACCCCCTAGCTAAACCTGGCTCCACAGCGCTGCCCCTCTGAAATGCCGCTGCGGTGTTTCAAAGGGGCAGAACCTCACAGCTGATTCTAGGCTTAACACCGCATGGAGCCTGGAGTCATCTGGGGACTCCAGCTCATGCCAGGCTCCCTGAGGCACTGCCCCTTTGAAACGCCACTGTGGTGTTTCAAAGCGGTAGTGCCACACAGAGCCCGGGCTCCCTGCGGTGCTGTTGCTTTGAAGTACCTCCCACTTTCTCCCCTTGCTGCCTCTATCATATAGAGGCAGCAAGGGGGAGGGAGCAACTAGTCAACTATCCTGTTGACTATCCGATAAGCATTTGCTCATCGGACAGTCGACTAGTCCTTAACATTTGGTCCCCCTTATCCTGTGGGCTCTGCCAGATTGGGCAGGCCATGCCCCTCCTCTTTTGAAAATTAGAGGGCCATACTCTCCCACTTTTTAACATGGACACATTAGGCTCAGACAGGCACTTAGCTACAGCAGCATGAGCACAGTTTGGGTAGGTCACGAAGGCATTGCCCCTTCCTTCTCCCCACCAAACAGCAAGTTTCAGGCCAGAGGCTACAGGAGGAGTGGTGCGGTGTGTGACTGCAGCCTGGGCTTTGTACTCAAGGCAGCAGCAGGTGCCTACCAGCAGGAGACACCCAACAGGGTCAGCCTGGCAGAAGCGGGACATGGCAGGGCAGGCACTGAGCAAACTCAGGCGGAGTGCGGTGGCTGCTGAGGCTGCACCAATATCTGGGGAAGATGCACCAGAGTAACCCTCCCCGCCCAGCTGCTTACTACCTGTGTCCTTCCCAAAGCTCCCCTCAAACTTCCAGCTGGTGCAGGGCCTCCCCCGCCCCCCACAGTGTGTCCACAGACAGAAGGGACAGGGCAGGAGATCAGACCAGATTCCTCTCCCTCTGTCACAATGGCAGTAGCATGCCATAGGGGGCAGGGACATGGGCTGGGAGCTGCTCTTGAGTATCCCAGCCTCTGCTCAGAGTAAGCGAAGGGTCCAGAGCTCCTTCTACAGTGGCCCAGGCTCTCTGGAAGGCTCTGACTTCTGGTCTGGCCAGGTGAAGGATCCCCAGGGAAGAGGAGGAACAGAGGGCAGGGTCACTGTTCCATTACTGGTCCGTCCCCCCCCCCTTCTACTTCTGTTACCACACTCCTGCAGGGGACGGAGGAACCCAAACTGGCCCTTGGGTACAGATCTAGATGGCTAGTCTACAGCATCTCCAGACTGTATTTCAGTACTGAAGAGGACAGCTGCAACTGGCTTCATTTTATGGAACTTAGGTGTGGACTTCAAGGCAACGGGCTACTTGTTTCCCCAACTGAGGCTTGCATAAGCAAAGGATACAGACGCTTTCTTGGACACTTCATATGGTATTTTTCCTCAAAAATAAAATGGGAGCAGCAGCAACTGAAGACAGATCTAATTCTAAGTGCAGCAGTCAGCACAGACTGGCCTCCTTGATACTAAAATCACTACTAGATGGGATTGTACGGTTCAAGAAACTGGATATACATCAGGACAAGTTAGGATGAGGCTAAAGTAGAGGCAATTTACCAAACATAAAATATGCAACAAAATATTACCAATGTAGATTAAAATTATCTGATACAACCAACTTGAATATTAGGAGACTGAAAAAGCCTGCCACCTCCTGCCTCCAAAGGATACAGCTTTTTAAAGGCTGCCAACTATTGTACTTACTTACCTTCTTACATAGTTCCTTGTCCTTTTGTTTTTAATCATGACAATAACTCAAACTAATCATGCCTGATTTAAATGAGTGTTAAGGCAGCACTACCCACTATCACAGGAAACCACAGAAGTTAAAATAAAACAAGGCTCTCACTTTTGAAGGCTGCTGAATTTTAATCTCTTGGGAGTCAGATGCAGAATCTGATTTGGTGCCACCGGAGTTTGGTTTCTCCTTTTTTCTCTTCTGTTTCTTTTTCTTCTTTTTAGCTCCCAAATCCCCTCCAGGACTTCTGTCAGGAAATTCAGAGATGGTGAAATGAAAAAGACCAATACCACAAAACTTGAAGTACATGACAGTAAATTTAGAAAACCACCACTTCTACATTTGAAAACTAATAATACAGTAGTAAAGATATGATACAAGGGGGGAAATTCAGGATAAAGGAGTAAATGGCAGAAACATTTTCTATGTTAACTTAATCATTTGCTTTCCATTAAGTACCCTAATTTATAAGGCATTTGGGGCCTCAATTTCATTCATCTGCAAGACTTTTATTTAGCAGAAATATGAAGTGGCAATTTCTACACATAGAGCAGAAGTTTTAATGTCTTGCTGAACAATTTTATTTAGCAGGAACCTTTTGGCAGAAAAAAGGGGCCGGAAACTTCAGAGAGGGAAGAGAAATAGTGCAATATGCACTAGCCAGGATGGGTAGGAATGGTGTCTCTAGTCTTTGTTTCTCTGGAGGTGGGTGACAAGGGAGGGATCACGTGAGGATTATATATTGTGATCCCTCCCTCTGAGGCATCTGGTATTGGCCACTGTCAGCAGACAGTATACTGGGCTAGATGGACCGTTGGTCTGACCCAGTATGTTCGTTCTTATGTACTAGAGCTAAAACTTGGCTTATGTACATCTGCAAACATAATAATTTAAGTTTCAAAACAGAACTCTGCATTGGACTACAAACACTATAATGACAAACATTAGATTAGATGAACATTTCTAATATTTCCAGCAAGGAATTATGGGTGGGATTTTCAAAAATACCTTTGGGATTTAGGAGCACAGGCTCAAGTGAAAGTTAAAGGGACTCCTCCTCCTAAATACCTTAAGTGCTTTTGAAAAATTGTAGATACTCTTGATGTTTATCAATGGTCCATTAAAGGATTTGGGAAGAATGCATTAAAAAGAAAGGATCCAACCAGAAAACACTGAGCAATTTTTCAGGGAACTTCATTCCTAACACATGATATATACCTTGCTCAAATCTCTGATAGTAATTGAGTAAAAGGAGAATTACTATTACTGGGTATAGTTTAATGGAAAACACAAGAAACACCACAAACTGCAACCTACGCTTGCTGACGCCAAGTATTTTAGCTGATGACACCATGATTGCCTTTTCCCCCCTTAAGTAGAGAAAACAAATTAACAAAATGACCAAATACAAGAGTAGCGTCTGTAGACACTCAGGCTATATCTAGACTGCAAGCCTCTTTCGAAAGAGGCTTTTTCGAAAGATACTTTCGAAAAAGCCTCTTTCGAAAAAGAGCGTCTAGACTGCAAGCAGAACTTTCGAAAAAGCAAGCCGCTTTTTCAAAAGAAAGCGGCGAGTGAGTCTGGATGCTCTCTTTCTAAAAAGCCCTGTTGGCATTCAAGAATGCCTTTTTTCGAAAGAGCACTTTCGAAAAAAGGCGTTCTTCCTCGTGAAATGAGGTTTACCGCCGTCGAAAGAAAAGCCGCGTTCTTTCGATTTAATTTTGAAAGAATGCGGCTGCAGTCTAGACACAGGTGAAGTTTTTTCGAAAAAAGGTGGACACAGCCTGAGGGAGAGCCTACCAGTAGATGGTAGTAACAGTAGACAAACGGGAAAAACAAAGAAGATCATAGAACGCAAATTGATTACTCTTCAAGAGATGTTAACAGTCAGGCAAAACCCCATCTACGTCATGGACACCACAGCAGATGTTACATGCTTTTTTGTACTGGGCAAAAGAAAAACTGTACTTATTTTATTTTTACAAGAGAAACAGCTTTGATCATGAGGGACATCAGCACACATACTAGCAGAGTGGAGAACAAGTGGATTAGCATGTGTGTTGCAATCATCACGAATGCTTATGAAAAGTATATCTGTAAAATCCATTGTCATCTCTATTGCACTCTCATTTAAAAGGTTATAGTACCCACAGTCCACAACAATTGTATTGCTCATCACTGCTTGAGTCACTGAGAAAGCTCCACATGTCTAAACTGAATGCTGAAAGCCTATGTTTAAGAAAATACCAACCAGTTACGGTAAACACCCATCTGCATTGTAACATCATTGTTCTCTAAATCCATCCTTGTATAAAAGATCAATCTTGAGAAGCATTGAACCCCCCAACTTCACTGGAGTTCAGTGGAAGTTGCAAAAAGAGAAGGAAGGAATGCTGGAGCAGTGCTCAGCATTTCTATGATTCACATCCCAACAACTATCTGAAAGACACAGGAATGGAGAGCTAGGAGTAAAGAGAGGGGATGAGAAAATGTGGAATGTTTCCTTGAGCTCTACATAAGAAACAATTATTTACCTTAACTGTGGCTGTCTGAGATGTGATGCAGATGTATATTCCTCTTAGGTACATGCATGTCCAGAGCACCATGGTTGGAAAATTTTGCATAGCAGAACTTGTAGAGGGGCAGAGCTTGCATTTTATGACTATAACTCCTTCCCCTGAGGCTGCATCACACTGACCCCCCTCAATCACTTTGCACCAAACAACCAGAGACTGATGCAGAGGGGACAGAGGGCAGGTCTTGGAATACGTGTCTGCATCACATCTCAAAGAACCAGTTACAGTAAGTAACCATTTCTTTTTCTTCAAGTAGATGTAGCTGCGTATTCCACATAGGTCACTCAGTAGCAGTACCCAGAGGAGGTGGGGTTCAGAGTTTATTTAAACAAGGACTGCAGGACTACCAAACTTTGGGAAGCATCTGCTTTGAATGCCACAGAAACTGTATAATGGTTTAAAAATTAGTAGTCCTGTAGCACCTTAGAGACTAATTTATATATACATATAGATAGTATAGGGATATAGATAGGGATGTTCAGCTGATTAATCTAAATTTATCGAATAGTCGATGGAATTTCCATTTATTACTTGATTAGTTAATAAGGGCACCTCCACCTTTGAAATGTAGCAAGAGCCCTGCTGGCTCTTGCTACATTTCAAAGGTGGAAGCACCACAGGAAGCATGGGGCGAGCAAGGGACTCAAGCAGGGGCTCCTGCTTCAGTCCCCCGCTTGCCCTGTGCTTCCTGAGGTGCTTCTGCTTTTGAAATGTAGCAAGAGCCCTGTTCTTGCTACATTTCAAAGGTGAAAGCACCGCCAGTTCCTCGCTGCACTCCAGCCTCCACCCATGGAGACAGTGCTGGGGGGGGAAACTGGCTTTTAAGCTAACCTCCCCCCGGCACCAGCTCCTGCTCTCCCCCCACCTTGCTGCCTCTCTCTGATAGAGGCAGCGGGGAGGAGGGGGAAGCAACTAGTCAAATCACTAGGGCTACGTCTACACTGGCATGATTTTCCAAAAATGCTTTTAACGGAAAACTTTTTAACGGAAAAAAGCACTTTTTGCGGAAAAGCGTCCATGGCAAATCTAGACGCAGTTTTCCGCAAAAAAGCCCCGATCGCCATTTTCGCGATCGGGGCTTTTTTGCGGAAAACACTACTGTGCTGTTTACACTGGCCCTTTTGCGCAAAAGTCTTTCGGAAAAAGACTTTTGCCCAAACAGGAGCAGCATAGTATTTCCGGAAAATCACTGACGATCTTACATGAGATCGTCCGTGCTTTTCCGGAAATTCAAGCGGCCAGTGTAGACAGCTGGCAAGTTTTTCCGCAAAATCAACTTGCCAGTCTAGACACAGCCTAGTTGATTAGTCACTTATATCCCTAATAAATAGATAAATAGTATCATGAGCTTTCTCAGTTACTTAGATTACCACCACCTTATAGTGGACACCTACCAACTGTTATTATTACCAACATACCTCTAGCTTCCATCCAGGACATATCACACAAACAATTGTTTACAGCCAGGCCCTAAGATGCAACTGGATTTACTACAATCCCATAGACAGACACAAACACCCACAGGACCTTTATCAAGCATTCTTAAAAATTAAATCTTCACTTCCCTATGTGGGTAAGCCGATTGACAGAGCTAGATTAGTACCCAGGTATCTGCTTCTTCAAGACAGGCTCAACAAGGACATCTGAGGAAGTGGGCTTTGCCCACAAAAGCTCATGATACTATATATTTGTTTTTGTTAGTTTCTAAGGTGCCACAGGACTATTTGTTGTTTTTAAAGTTACAGACTAACACAGCTACCCCTCAGACTTTTATTGCATAATGGTTTATGAATGACCACGTGACAACCCCGCAAATCTACTATATATTTTGAAGAGTTTGTTTGTTTGTACAAAATAAAAGTCGCACTTTGCGATTACTTATAGATACCAAATTTTGTATAAAAAAATCCTGCCACTGAAATTAGCTGAATGTACTACATTTTATGCCGGAATATGCTGGGTGAAAGGTTTAAATCAATGTTTCTCAAAGTGGCCCGTGGACTCAATCTGAGAAAGCTGCAGGTTGCTTTGATTTGTTCACTTATTGGATTCACAGCCATGGAGCCTCATGAATCCCATTGGCTGCAGTTCGCCAGTATAAAAAAAGCTGGTGTCGGCATCAGCCTTGTTAGTACAATACTCAATGGATGTCTCAAGGCCAGAAACGAAGTCAATGGTGCAGGGTCTCTGCCTCCCTGCTAGGCACATACTGAGAAACTGGACTAGCCTTGTGCTGGCTCACACTCTTCCTAGGGGAGATGGAAGAGTCCCCACAAGACCTGGAACAGTCCACTTGGTCTTATGAAACCTTTTCCTTAGCACACTTAATAGGGAGCGGTTCCTCCAATCTCTTTGGAGAAGTACCTGCTTCAGAGTACAAAGTGGCAGCACTCTCAGAACCTGAGGGTGACCTCTGATCCAGCAAGGGCCTCAGGGCTGAAGCAGGCTATGGAGGTTTGCATGAAGGTCCCTAGCCATCTGAGCTCATTTCATGAACAATCTACAGGTAATACACCATTCCTTGATTTGGGCCTCATCAAGCACAGCAAGTACCATGTGAGGGGATCGCTGCTGAGGACTGCTTTGCCATATAACATACAATGTAAATCCCAGAGAAGATACTTAACTAAGTGCAACTAACATTAACTTAACACTAAGGGCCTATTAATTA